GAAAATACCAGGCTCACAAATTCCATTTTGGGAAAGGTCAATCAACTGACACTAATGTATTGCATCAAAAATTATATTTGATATTTTTTAACCTCTTTCTGGTTGGAAAAAAATTTTAAAAATTAAATCAAAATAAAAAAAATAAACTTAATTGTCTTAATTTTTATAATGAAATTAGGAGAGTACTTTAAAATGAAACTATAAATCTATGAAATCATTTTAATCAATATTATGTGAATTAATTACCTAAAGGCTAGAATTTTTTTATAGCTTCTTCTCTCACTTACAGTTCATCTGATTTCAGCAATGCATACAACATATTTTCTGGTAGGAGACCAAAATCATTATGTTGAATATTTTCAAATACAATCTCCTGAATTTCAGGTGGTAATTCTTTAATTCTTTGCGACATATTGAAAATATACAATTGCTGGTTATGAAATTTATTGTCCCTTTTAATTTCAAACCAGCTAACTACATACACCCCAACAATAAACTGGATAAGGCTGTGTAGTTTGGAAAATATGTTTTTTAGGGTAAATTCCTCGAGTTCCCAAACACATTAGTCTGGTGGCTAATGTCACCCAGCTTGCTTGATTTAAGGGCCCAATTTCCCATGCAGCATATCTAGGGTTGACTTTCCCTAGTGAAAATCCCTACTGCCTATTCTAAAAGAAGTATCTGAACACTACTCAGATCAACTGTCTGTTTGATGCTAGAGGACTAACTATGGGTACAAATTTGACCTGGGGTAAATTATGATAGTCATTTGCACACAATCTCCCAAGTGGACCAATAAATGATGTTGGGCATCTTGTGTTGCCCTCAATGTGCTTAAAAACAGCTCTGAACGGAAGCTCATTTTTTATGTAGAGAGCAACCAATGTGTGTTATTTTCTTTTTATTTGTTTCTCTAGAACTGTAACTAGCCCAGCTTCACAGCCAGTATTTGTATGGGTGTTGTCCAGTAAAACAGCCTTTGGAGTATCAACATTGTTATACTCCTCGAAAACACTAGCAACCTCCTTTGCTAAAACAGCACCAGTATTAGTGATGACTCTATGAGTGAGGTATTTTCCACTTTCACCACAACCCATCTCCTTTATGAATGTCAAATGGTGTTCTGTTCCATCTGTTTTCTTGATTTTTTTTTCTTTCCATCTGCCTCCAAAATCTCTTTATATAGCAACGTATCTTTGTCATGTCTTCCGTCAACAACAATACAAATAAATTTTTCTGCTTTATCAATGTGTTTTTGATGGGCATTTTGTTTTGTTCATTCCTTTGCACGGTCTATTTTAGATTTATCCAAAATTATGTCTTCAATATTAACACTTTGTTTGAGAAGGCCCATAGCCTTCAAATGTAAAAGAAAAGCATTTGGCAAGGCTTGCTCCTAAGTTTGATGAATGATCACCCCTGATCAACTCAGTAGCATATGGGGGAAATTTTAAAAGGCTCTAAACACCCTTGGAATGTCTGGCAGGCTCATATGCATCATATATTTCATCGCTATTTGATGACTGGAAAGAATAACATCCTGATCATAAGATGTGGAGGCAATAGGAGATGAATCAATTTGTTTTTGTCTTTCTCCTTCCACTACACTCTTTTTGGGTTTCTGAATGGCAGTTTTATCAACAGGTCCAAGTTGGAAGCTACTCTTGGGTCCTATTTTGGCCCTCTGGTCTGTTAAATATTCTTCCACTGGTAACTGAAATATTAAATTTTGAAATAGCAATGTTTGTTAAGTTTGAACAATTACTGTTTAGAAAATAACTATACTGGATGATTTGTCGAAAAATATGCGGCTCTGTTTTATCTAATGGACAAGGTGGTCCTCTAAATTCTGTAGCAATAACACTGTGATTAGAAAGTACAGTTCGTTTCCCAACCATTTTTATAAAAAATACTAGCAGTAGAGCCCGGCGTTGCCCAGGGATGTAACAGTAAGAGATAGATCTAGTATCGACCATCATAAAGACTGAAAAATAAAATTGACAAAGATTATTGTTTAAGGTTGACGGACACGAATGTCTTAATTAGTTTTTTTTGGTGGGGCTTTTTTTTGTTTTTTTTTTTTTTACGAATTGGTCAAACCCAAACTCAAACAAAAACATTGTTTTCAATCGTTATGAGTCTACCGATTGAATAGAATTTTATTATAATTGTCTTGTAAATGGAATTTTTAAAGCATTCTGAATGTAAAATAAAGAAAAAAGTGTGTAAGACAATAAGAAACACTACCTGCCAAAAAAAAGTGAAGTTTTGTTGAAATCGGTTGAAAAATGTAGGAAATAGCGATCCAATATATAAACGTACAGACACACACACACACAACCTGGGTTTTATAATAAGTATGGTCTGAAGAAAAAATTATACAAATTGAATTATAAATTCCAAAGTGAAATAAAAAAAAAACTGGAAAAATATAATAAAAGATGAAATAATCAGTATGTATTTACTTACCTTACGAAAGAAATGTAAGTCGCTTCTTACGCTCATGCAAAAAAACAAACTCGAGAATGACAAATAATGTCTTCAAAAATAAAAATAAAAATATTAAATATCACAGTGAATATAAAGTTTGTTCTTTCTTTCTTTTAATAATTAAGTTTATTAAAATAAAAAAAAGGAACAGACTTAATTATTTTTGTGTTTTAAATCAGCTCAATAAACTTGAAACAAATGTAAACAAAAACACGTGGAATGCTAAAGATATTTCCGGTGCAGACTGAAACAATAACTGCCTAAAACAAGCTCGAATTTGTTTATAGTTTATAGAATGTTAAATTAAATATTTTTGTAGTATTTGCTTTTTAATTTACTTATCTTTAATTTACCCAGAACTGCACGATTTTGAATAAAACAAAACATTTTTAAGGTTATTTTCTACATTTTTTTTCTTCAAAACCCGGTGTTAATTTGACCTACTTATCTTTTCGATTAACACCGGACGTAATTCAGAATATTCGATTATGTTACTGTGGAATCTTCGACAACAAACCAGCCTTACCTCTTTTTAAGAAATGCACTCTTCCTATCTGGTAAGTAACATCCTACTTTCATACAAATATCAACGAGAAAACATTAGTTAATCACAGTACATCCAACTTGCTGATTGGTCAGTTTCAACCAATCAGATCGCCCTCACGTGCAGAGTTAATTTAGGCGCCAAGTCAATCCTGATCCTATCACGTGGTACACGACCATTATATAAACCCAGCACGTGTAAATTCCATCGATTTTTCTTTTCATTCATCTCTCTCGCACCTCTCATTCCTTGCTACCAAGTGCCAAGATGTAACCTTCACGAACTCCCGTCTTAGCCATTGTGGTCAGACGTTAAAGATAATTACCAACATCCACGCAAGTACGAACTCTGAAATCTCTTCTGAACTTTTAGCAACTTTATTCTTCTAAATTACAGTTTAATATTACTTCCTTTTAATATGAACTCCGATACAACTAATACCTAATCAAAGGGACACGACTCTGTCCTACTTTTTCAGTTCGCATGCATGTATATCAAACATTAATAAATTCAACTGTTATGTTTTGAAATCATTCCGTTCAGTTTGGTATTTTATACTATGTGCTATTTACGTTAAATATAAATTGCATTGCGTCCACGCATTGTCATTAATCTCACCTTTCCTAGCCAAAGTTAAATATTGGTAACACAAGCCACAACAATAATGATGGCCCGACGTTCGTCATTCGACGTTCACAACAACAATGGTAACCGCAATCGCTACATATTTAATGATCCCGTCGGAAATAAACAATAATGGTAACCCCTATCGCTATATTACTATTTAAATGCATTTGCGCAAAAATTCGTAAATTTTAGAGAAAAATATTTTGTGCAGTTATTATTTATGTTAATTAGCAACTTTCTCTGGGTAGAGTTAGTTGTGGTTTCAAAATCGACCTACCTAATATATATATATATATATATATATATATATATATATATATATATATATATATATATATATATATATATACATACCTTTCCCAAGGGTATTAGCACGTAAGTGAATGTAATGGATTCGACTGGAATCGAACTCGGCTCTGCGATTCCTCAATCCAAGTCGCTATCCATTACTCCACCGTGCCCCCACTTCCTCTTCGTCTCCCTCCAGCTATGGGTAAAATAGCAGGACAGACTGGGTTCTATAGCCTTGGATGGCAACTGGTCTAGGAGAAGTACGACTCTGAATTCAAAACCTGCGGAGGGTCGTTTGGGGACCTTGTGGCATTCGGTGCACCAGGTCTCTGTATTCGTCCCTTCAAAAAGTGTGAATGGTCCTGCACGAGGCTTTCACCACTATAATCAAAATCTCATGTGCCGGTGTCGGGCTGTCGGTTTCCTGGAAGCTGATCTGCTTGACCCTCACACGTCGAATCTCGACGGGAAATTCTATTATATATATATATATATATATATATATATATATACCGTGTGTAACAGCAAATTTGTTCAAATTGTGTAACGGGATGGGATAATTGCCCACCGTACAAAATATTTAATATGTAAAAAAATAAAAATAAAAAAAAAACACTAAACTAATTGAGTTTCTTTGTTCGAACGTTTTCAGAAAGTCATCTTGAAACAATTTGTCGTAAGAATCACTGATTAAAAAAAAAACTTTGAGTTATTCAGCTAGAAAGAGAACAGGTTTAAATCGTTTTGTGTCAGCTCCACTATGTCTTTCCGACTAAGCAATGGTAAGAGGGAAAAGATGATTTAGATCTTCAGTAATGGTACCAACATTCATATTCGAAGTCCATTCAAGAACCATCAAGAGAACGGTGAATAAGTTTTTAAAAAAAAGAAGAGGCAGCAGAAAGGAAGTCTGGATCAGGATGTCACAAGGATGGATCATCATTTCAACTTAGAGCTAAATACATTCCTATTGTTCAAAGTAGAGACCAATAGTGTTATAAAAACCTCGGAATGTGTGTGTTTAAGCAGAAGCTGATTAGCAAAGAAAATGTTTTCTTTCTGTAACGATCCTAATAGGATTTTCTTCTTTCTTTCTTTCATTTTTCATTCGTTCATTTTTTTTCTTTTCATTCTTTCTTTCTTTCGTTCGCTTTCTCTTTCTTTCATTCATTCGCTCGTTCGTTTTCTCATTCCTTTTTATTTTCTTTCTTTCGTTTGTTTTCTCTTTCTTGCTTTTTTTTTTAATCTCTAATTTTTTCTTTTGGTATTCCGTTCGTTCAATTGGGTTCTTTCTTTCTTTCACTCTTCTTTCTTTCTGTCTTTTATTCGCTCCTGGTATTTTTTTTTTTTTTTTTTTTGATGCTTCTTTTTTTTAATTTATTTTCTTTTTTTCGATTTTTCACAGTTACGTTATCTTTGTTTCGATGTCTTTATCTGATTACTTTCTTTCCTTCCTTTTTTCTTTCCTTCTTTCTTTCTTTCCTTCTTTTTCTTTCTTTTTTCTTTCTTTCCGTATTTCTTTTTTTCTTTTTTCTTCTTTCTTTCCGTATTTCTTTCTTTCTTTCGTTATATCCTTCTTTTTCTCCGAATGTTTTCTTTCCTTCGTTTATTTCTCCTCTCGTTTCATGGTTCCCTCTCATTTTCTCTCTGTCTTTCTTTCTTTTTTTTGTTTCTTTCTTTCGTTATTTTTTATTATGTTTTTCTTTCTATCATTCTTTTTTCTCTTTTCTTTTTTATTTTTGCAGAGGCATCTTTGCTTGTTTTTAAGTATATTTTATTTTTCTGAATTATTTTTCCTTTTTTTTTTTACTTACTTTACCTTTGTTTCCAGAAATTAGATTTACCTTCTTTCTTTCTTTCTTTCTTTCTTTCTTTCTTTCTTTTCTCTTCTTTCTTTCTTTCCTTCTTTCTTTCTTTCCTTCTTTCGTTATATCCTTCTTCTTCTCCTAATGTTTTCTTTCTTTCGTTTATTTCTCCTCTCGTTTCATGGTCTTTTCATTCGTTCCCTCTCATTTTCTCTCTTTTTTTCTTTCTTTCTTTTTCTTTTTTTCTTTCTTTATTTCTTTCTTTCGTTATTTTTTATTATGTCTTTCTTTCTATCTTTTCTCTTTTCTTTTTATTTTTGTAGAGGCAACTTTGCTTGTCTTTAAGTATATTTTCTATTCCTTTTCGTTTTTACTTTACCTTTTTTTCCAGAGATTTACCTTCTTTCTTTCTTTCTTTCTTTCTTTTTTTGCTTCATCAAATGCCATCTTCATGTGTAATGAAAAAGGTGGTTTTGTAATGCCAACGAACACGCGTTGGCACTTTTTGATTTCAACCAACACTCGTTGCCACTTTCGTAATGCTCGTTGTAGTAGAGACTTTGTAATCGCAGATACAACTATAGTAACGCCGTTGAACAATACTGGTGTCAGACGCCTTCGAATAACACTCGCACTATTAGTACTTGCTCGATAATACTCGCTCGAATAGTAATCCGAATAGTAATCCGTATAGTAATAATATTCACTAACCGCTCCACGCGGTCGGAAGTTGGTACAAGGCCGGGTTTATTGTGGGGAATCCGAGCCCTTAGCCATGGCCAAAAATTCTCTGTAGACCCCGTAAAAATCGTGCTCGGGTAGCTGTCTCCCAAGACGAGACTCTACCCTTTCGACATAGCCTCGTCTGGGGGTCCTCTCTGCCAGGAGGCAGAGACTTTGACCAGCACACTCGGAAGTAATCCGTATAGTGATAATATTTATTCCACATAATGTACAAATGTGGCACAAGGCCAAAAAGAGGAGTGGGTAAAGGACGCTCTTCTTCTGTCAACGTTAAACGTAGCTAGCCACAAGCACTGACCCAAACATGCAATATTCCTTTCACTGAAACAATATTTACCATTCTTACCTCCTCCACCATAATGTCACAGAATCTCTACAAAGTCCTAACTAGTCCCCATACGTACAATTCATTGTCTGTGGGGTGGGGGAGGGGATTAAAATGACAATTTTAAAATCTAAAAATCCTAACGAGTATTTACAAAACTATATATATATATATATATATTAAGAAATGGACAAAGTCCGACAATTTATTAAATTATATATATATACATTTCCTTTACCATCACGTGATCTACTTATTCAAAATGGGATCGACTGTGTTTGCTCTATGATGATCTGTGTTCAAACTCCAGTGTGGGCAGCGACACTTTATTCCCATATAACAGGTGGCTAATCTTATTCTTCTTGACTTACTCCCCTTTTTACTATTCCTTCTCCTCTCTGTCTTTTTATGCCCCCCCCCAATACTCCAACCCTTTCTATCTCACTTCTTCCTTTCTCTCTCTCTCTCCTCTCTGTTTTTAATAGGGAATTTTACATGTGGGATTTTAGAAACAAAATAAGTAGTGATTTTCCAAGCGTAGCATAGATGTGGCACAAGGCCGAAGTGCATGGGGCACCCAGTGAGGATCGAACTCACTACTCAATCGTAATTGTTCTAGCGAAACAAGCTTGTTAACCATTACACCGCCTCGAGATGCCCATTATTCAGCCACCCCTTCACTGGGGTGCCATGTGGCACAAGGCCGTTTTTAACGTGGGATATCCGAGCCCGTGGGATCGGCCCCAAAATATACCAATTGAACCCGTATAAACGGGTTCAGGGTCGAGCCCCCTCCCCGAACGAGACTCCGCCCTTCGGCGTAGCCTCGTTCGGGTTCCTCCCCGCCCGAAGGCAGAGAGTTCAACCGAACAGCCGGTCAAGAAAGCGAACGACTGACTCTAGAAACAAAATAAGTACTGATAGCAACTCTTCCCGTTTCTGTTTATGTCCATCTAAAAAGTTCAATTCTTTTTTCTTTCTTCTTCATATTTCTACTCTTTCTTTCTTATTTGCCTTTTTTCTTTTCGCTGATTTCTCTCTACCAGCTTCTTTCTCTCTTTCTTTATTTTTTCTTTTTTCTTTTCTTTTTCTGATCACGTGTTTCGATCTCATTTTCTTTTTCTCTCGGTGATTTTCCACCTTTTCTCCTTTCCGTTATCTTCACGCTTTCTTTGTTTCTTTCTTTTTTTTTTGTTTCTTTCTCTCACTCTCTCTCTCTCTCTCTCTCTCTCTCTCTCTCTCTCTCTCTCTCTCTCCATTTCTTTGTATCTTTCTTTCGTCAGTGTTGTTCTTTTTCTTTTTTATGTTTTTCATCACAATCATTTTCATACTCATTTTCTTAGTTTTCTATTATTTCACTTCCTTTTCTCGTTTACGCCCTTTTACCGTTTCTTTCTTTCTTCTCACTCTCTCTCTCTCTCTCTTCCCCCATCTCTCTCTCCCCCTCTCTCTCTCTCTTTCCCCCTCTCTCTCTCTCCCTCTCACTCACTCTTTTCAAATAAAACATTATCAAATGAGAGTTGAAAACTCAAATTCCGCCGTTGTGTTGCCTTTCTCTTTCGATTTATTTTTTTCTTCCTTTCTTTCTTTTTCACGGTTCCAATGTCCTTTTTTATTTCCCTTTTTCCTTTCCTTGATCCTCTTCTTTATGCTTCTTTCACTCTTTCTTTGTTTTACCTTTTCTTTCTTTTTTTCTTTTTGAACGCCTGATTTCTTTCTCATTTTTTTTCTTTTTCCTTCTTTCTTCTTTCTGACATCTCTCCTTTCTTTCTTTCTTTCTTTCTTTCTTTCCCGTTTTACTATTATTTACATTCTCATGTCTTTTTGCTTTTCTTTCTCTTCCACTTCCCCTGTTTGTCATCTTCGCGCTTCTTTCTTTCTTTCTTTCTTCCCACTCTCTATATATTTTTTCTCTTTCCTTCCTTCCTCTTTCTCTCTATGTCTGTCTGTCTGTCTGTCTATCTATCTATCTATCTATCTATCTATCTATCTTTCTCTTTCTCACTCTCACTCTTTTGAAATAAAGAACTTATCAAGTAGAAGTTGAAAAGCAAAATACCAACTAAAAGGTAATTCCGCCATTTTGTTGTCTTTCTATGTCGAACTTAATAAATTTCATTCTTTTTTTCTTTCGTTCTTTCTTTTTCTTCCTTCGTTTTTTCTTTCTTACCCCTCTCTATATATCTCTTTCTCTCTTTTCTTCCTCACTTTCTCTCTTTATCTCTTTATCTCTCTCTCTATTTCTCGATCTATTTATCTCCCTCTTTCTCACGCTCACTCTTTTAAATAAAGAATTTATTAAGTGGAAGTTGTAAAGCAAAATGTCAACTAAAAGGTAATTCCACCATTTTGTTGTCTTTCTATGTGGATCTTTGTAAGTTTCATTTTTTTTCCCTTCGGTCTTTCTTTCCCGCCCCTTTTTTCTTTCTTTCTTTTCATTCCTTCCTTCCTACCTTCCTTCCTTCCTTCTTTCGTTTTTTGTTTCTTCCCGCTCTCTATATATCTGTTTCTCTCTTTCCTTCCTCTCTTTCCTTCCTCTCTTTCTATCTATCTTTCTCTGTCTATCTCTCTCTCTCTCTCTATCTATCTATCTATCTATCTATCTATCTATCTATCTATCTAAATCTGTCTCTTTCTCACTCTCACTCTTTTATTAAGTGGAAGTTGTAAAGCAAAATACCAACTAAAAAGTAATTTCACCATTTTGTTGCCTTTCTATGTCGATTGAAATAAGTTTCATTTGTTTTTTCTTTCGTTCTTTCTTTTCTTCCTTCTCATTCTCTATATATCTATTTATCTCTTATCTTCCTCTCTTTCTCTCTACCTCTCTCTGTCGCTTTATCTCTCTCTCTCTCTCTCTCTATTTCTCTATCTATCAATTTATCTGTCTCTTTCTCACGCTCACTCTTTTAAATAAAGACTTTATTGAGTGGAAGTTGTAAAGCAAAATACCAACTAAAAAGTAATTCCACCATTTTGTTGTCTTTCTATGTGGATCTTAATAAGTCTTCGGTCTTTCTTTTCCGTCTTTTTTTTTCTTTCTTTCTTTTCCTTCCTTCGTTTTTTCTTTCTCCCGGCTATCTATATATCTGCTTCTCTCTTTCTCTCTATCTCTCTCTGTCTCTTTTTCTCTCTCTGTCTCTCTGTCTCTATCTATCTATCTATCTATCTATCTATCTATCTATCTATCTCTTTCTCACTCTCACTCTTTTGACATAAAGAACTTATCAAGTAGAAGTTGAAAAACAAAACACCAACTAAAAAGTAATTCCGCCATTTTGTTGTCTTTCTATGTTAAACAAAATAAGTTTTATTTCTTTTTTCTTTCGTTCTTTCTTTTCTTTCCTTCATTTTTTCTTTCTTCCCACTCTCTATATATCTATTTCTCTCTTACCTTCCTCTCTACCTTTCTCTGTCTCTTTATCTCTCTCTCTATTTCTCTATCTATCTATTTATCTGTCTCTTTCTCACTCACTCTTTTAAATAAAGAATTTATTAAGTGGAAGTTGAAAGGCAAAATACCAACTAAGAAGTTATTCCGCCATTTTGTTGTTTTTCTATGTCGATCGAAATAAGTTTCCTTCTTTCTTTTCCGTCTTTTTTTTTTTCTTTCTATCTGACTGTCTGTCTGTCTGTATGTCTGTCTTTCTCTTATCAAATACCATCTTGACGTTTAATGAAAAAAAGAAAATTTTAGTGTTGGTGCAGGTGGAAGGCGGGGAAAGAAGCGATAAATGCTTCACTCTTGAAGATCTTCAGAATCGATTCCAATGGGCGACAACCCACTGTTATCGCTTGTTGGCTGACTGGCTTCAAGCGAAATGCCGAAGAATTTGGTTGTTTGAACATAATGTTTTGGCCTCAAGTTGTGCGTTCTTAGCTAGAAGCTATTGTAACGTTGAAAATTGTTTATTTAATTACATCGACAGCGAAAATATTTAACATCATTAGAAAACATTAGACATATATTGTCGTCCTTTTTTTCATAAAAATCTATTGGGTTTTCTAACACTTCATGATGAGTCGACTATCTATCGATGGCACGCGTGAGATAAAAGAGGATTTGCGAGGCGTATGAAACGACTGGGGATATTAAGTATAAGCAAGTTTGAGACAAGGCCATTATAGAAGCGAAATCCCAGTCTTGCTAGACTAACATATAACATTATCAGGTAGTTTCCACTTTACGAATATTACGCCTGATACAAGCTTTCACTTTACATGTACGTATGAAGGAACCTTGTCATGTATACAGTGGGATATAATAGGTCTTTAGTCATCCTTTTTTACAGCAATTTGGGCATGTGTAATAACGTCTCTTCTTTTTAAAAAAAAATACCGTGTTAGTATCAAGCTACTCTCATCTATGAACAATAGTTGACTTATATCTTGCAATGAAAGTTCGTGGAAGGAAGGAAATTAGTGAATTTCAACAATGGAAAATAATAGGATGACATCAGTGTGGCAAGTCGAATAGAGAAATTGTTAGGTTTTTCTAGGTTAATCATCAAAGGGTTAATAATATTGTCTAGAAATTTAATGAAGAAGGCCATTGTCGTGTGGAACAACGTTCAGGAACACCAAGCATCGTGTCTGAGCGAAGAAACGGGACGCTGAAGAGGGAAGTCATCAGAAACCGTTGTCAGAGCGTCAAAGATGTCTCCAACAGCATGGAAATGTCGCCATATGCGGTGAGAAAGACTCTAAAAGAGCTAGGCTATCTAAGAAGAGTTGCAAGAAAGAAGCCCTTGATTTCAGAGGTTAACAGGAACAGGCGTATGGATTGGGCAAGAGAATTCGAGAGAATTTTGTCAGTCTGTAATTTAGTCAGATGAAAGTACTACCGATATTCTAATTCGAGATTGGTTTATGTTTGGAGAAATCAGAATGAGACTTGGAACACTGAATGTTTGCAGGCGACCGTGAAACATGGAGAGATTGAAGTAATGGTGTGGGGCGCTGTCTGGTTTGGAGGGAAATCTGAAATGATTCTTGTTGACGAGCGATTGAATGGTCTAAACTACTGTCAAATATTAGAGAAAGAATAACTCCCACAATTTGAACGCAGTCAGATTGACAAGAATGTCAAAGGCCTGGAAGGAATCGCAAGAAATCAAGTCACTGCCATGGGTAGCCCCAAAGTCCTGACATGAATCCAATAGAGCACGTTTGGGAGCACCTACACCGAAAACTTCAAGAGCGTGCAACCAAAATCACGTCATTGACTACCCTTAAAGAAACCTTGCTAAAGGAATAAATATGGATCACGCGATTGTTGATAAATTGATCAAATCTATGAAAAATCGAATACAATCACTGAAACTAACATACTACTCCACACTTGTTCCAAATACTGTTTATTTAAGTTGAGTTGGGATTTCGTAATTAAATTTTGAAATTGGATGTAGTTTATTTCTCCTAGCTAAAAACATTTCTTAAGGCCACTGTATACGTGTATGTTTCTATCTTTTAAATCTATTACTATGTGTGTATTGATATATATATATATATATATATATATATATATATATATATATATATATATATATATATATGATTATTTATTTTATAATATTTAAATAAATAATTGAATAAATAATTATATTCAGGCTCTACTTTTGTATCGAGCACTGTTTTTTAAAAATAATAACAAAAATACTAAAGAACTTTGGATTATTTACCTAACGATTTCTTTCATATTTTCAATATATTTTCAAACACACACACACACACACACACACACACACACACACACACATATATATATATATATATATATATATATATATTAAATTTTCCAGTATCTACCTACCGATCTATTTTTCTCACTCGCTTTATCTATCTATCTATCTATCTATCTATCTATCTATTTAAAAATATTTAAATAAATAATTAAATACATTATTATATTTAGGCTCTACTTTTGTATCGAGCACTGTTTTTTTTTTAATAATAACAAAAATACTAAAGAACTTTGGATTATTTACCTAACTAGTTCTTTCCTATTTTCTATATATTTCACACACACACACACACACACACACACACACACACATATATATATATATATATATATATATATATATATATATATATATATATATATATATATATATATATATATATATATATATATATATATAACATTGAATTTTCCAGTATCTATCTACCGATCTATTTTTCTCACTCTTTTATCTATCTATCTATCTATCTATCTATCTATCTATCTATCTATCTATCTATCTATCTATCCCATTCTTCTATCTATCTATCTATCTATCTATCTATCTATCTATCTATGTATTCCGCTCATATTTTCTGTATCTATCCACCATTCTCACTCAATTTCTATTTGAGCTGATTCTTGTTGACGATGACGAGGGGTTAAATGGTCGAAAATACTGTCAAATATTAGAAAAATGGCTACTCCAACTATTTGAAACCAATCAGATTGACAACAATGTCTACTTTTTTTCAAGAACATGGAGCGCCATGTCATACGAGTAAAATAGCAAAGGCCTGGAAGTAACTGCAAGGAATTAAGTCACTGCCATAAGACGTCCAAAATCCTGACTTGAATCCAACAGAGCACGTTTGGCAGCACCTCGACCGAAAACTTCGAGAGTGTGCAACGAAAAACACGTCAGTGGCAACCGTTAAAGAAAAATTGCTGAAGGAGTGGCAAAATATGGATCAGACGATTGTTGATAACTTGATTAAATCCATGAAAAATCGAATACAAGCACTGAAACTAGCAAATAGAGGACCTACTCCATACTAGTTCCAAATACTGTTTATTTATGTTGAATAGTGATTACGTAATTAAATTTTGAAATTGGATGTAGTTTATTTCTCCTGGCTAAAAACTTTTCTTAGGCCACTGTATGTATACGGTGTGCCGGCGTAGGTTAATGGTTGTCGCAGTTACTCTTATTGAACATTATTACTGATATTACGGGGGAACAGTTGACCAGATTGTTCAACTGTCGAACTCTCTGCCTTCAGCAGAGAGGAACCTGGACAAAGCTGTGCCGAAGGGCAACGTTTCGTCCAGGGAGGTAGACAGGCCCTGAACCCGTTTATGCGGGTTTCTAAGAGAATATTTTTGGCCGCGCCTACGGGCTCGAAGAACCCACGGTAAACTTGGCCTTGTGCCATTTACATCCCTCAAGGGGGGGGACTGTTAAATATAACATTATTACTGACTACTGAGTTCAAGCCTTCCTGTGTTCCCCGATGTAATAAAGCCTTCCTGTGTTCCCCGATATTATAAAAAAAAATCATAAGGTTTGACATATAGGCAATGCAGTCAGCTTAACTTTTTTGGTGTAAGTTAATTGTTAACGACTCTTGTCTGGTTGACCATCGCGATAGTTATAAACGACAGAAACTGGAGGAGAGCCATGATCACCCAGGTTCTGTATGGACACGTCAAATTGATGTAGAAGAAAAAGCTGAAGCATAAAGGTCACTGATACTTAGAATTGCAAAGAGACAATTGAAATTTATTAACTACATAATGAGGAAAGAGGACTTGCAGAATCTGACAGGACATATTGAAGACAACTGGGTCAGAGGAAAGCATCATAGAGTCAACCTAACGAAATTGTGTAAATGGTTGACAAGTCAGGGATTAGAAGGGATTGAGACAAAGGAAAGGAAATTGTGGAGAGCCATAATCCCCGACGTCCTGAAGGGACACGGCACATAAAAAAGAAGTAAAAGTTCGACCTTGTGTAGTTGGTTGGCAAAACAGGGATCAGGTGATATAGCAAAAAGTCTATATTCACTAAAAACTTTACGTAACAGGAAATTGTGGAGAGCCATAATCACCCACGTACTGAATAGAAACGGCACCAAGAAAAAGAACAGCCTTGTGTAAACGGTCGGTAAACCAGGGATTGGGGGAGATTGCTAAAAATGACTAACTTTAACAAGATCTACAAAGGCCAGGAAATTGTGGAGAGTCATAATTACCCACGTCCTGTAGGGACACGGCAAATATATATAGAAGAAGAAAATTGAAACATGCAGTACACAGATACTTAGAATTGCAAAGAGGCAACTTAAATTTATTAAGTACATAATGAGGAAAGAGGACCTGGAGAATCTAACATTCACAGGACATATTGATGACAAGCGGGTTAGAGGAAAGCATCATAGAGTCTACCTAACGAAATTGTGTAAATGGTTGAGAAATCAGGGATTAGACGAGATTGAGAAAAGTCAAACAAAAAAGAAAAACTAAAAAGAACAGGAAGTTGTGGAGAAACATGATTGCCCACGTCCTGCACAGAGAGGTAAATCGATGAGATCTGCAAGTAACATAACGATTATTTGCTCGGAAAGTAAGCTGAGCTCGAATTCCGGTCTAGTAAGTTGCGTTCAATTTGCTCAAATACCTTCGAGTAAGATTCGAATACATTTCTACATCAGGTGACACTGGTGTCTCCGTTCGAACTTAGGTAAAATTCACTATTTCGAATGCTGATTTTCAAGGTAGACAAGCACTCCTGTAAACAATATTAGATTAGCCCAATGTTTTATCAACGACCTCACAGCATGTTGGGGCGCACCCACCTTCTAACTAGAAATGGACTGGTCCCACTTATATAAGTCAGCTCTAGTTGAGAGGACGGGGGAGCGTCAGCGACAGCAGTCCAGATAAGGTTACCCGTTACATACCGTTGGACTATAGACTTTGGATATTGTTTCGTACTAACCAACCTTCGTACTACTAATCACTCTATTGGTAATTGCTTTTATGAATATACCAGTATTTTCCTCTAAAACTGTGTTTGTCTTGATTCATACACCGACACGCGGGAAACTCACAACATCTCACAGCATTAGCGGTCAGTATGTTAATCTCTGGTAAAATATGTCATGCAAACGAATTATAAAAACTACCCTATATAATTCCTCTCTCTCGCGCTATATATATATATATATATATATATATATATATATATATATATATATATATATATAGGTAATAATCTGTTGCTATATAATCCAAGTGAACTCTATTGTAAATTAAAATAAAATTTACAAGTATTTTTCAAACCAGTCACTGGATAATAAATTATTAAAAAAAAAATATCAATAATTTCTCATCCATTGACTGGTTTGAAAAATACTTGTAAATTTTATTTCAATTTACAAGGTGAAAAAATGATCATTAACCTAACGTTGTCTTAAATTCCTATTATATATATATATATATATATATATATATATATATATATATATATATATATATATAGAGCACTAGACTAGATATGCCAGAATTATTTTAATGCACAGACGAATGGTAGATTTGTAAATGTGCAATACGGATACTGACAAGAAAACCTTTTTGTCATACTCCTAACGGGAAACCACGATATACTCATTCCTGATAATGCATGGCATGTTACTAATGATCAAGAAGAGGAATCTTTGGAGAAGGCAACGGGAAACCACTCTTCTACCTTTTCCAAGAAGTCATGGCGATTCACAGATAATAAAGAAAAGGAATTAGTGGAGAAGGCAACGGGAAACCACTCCACTATCTTTCCCAAGAAGTAATGGCAATTCACAAATAATAAAGAAACGGAATCTGTAGAGAAAGGAACGGGAAACCACTCCACTGTCTTTCCCAAGAAGTCATGGCAATTCACAGATAATAAAGAAAAGGAATTTGTGGAGAAAGCAACGGGAAACCACTCCACTGTCTTTCCCAAGAAGTCATGGCAATTCACAGATAATAAAGAAAAGGAATTAATGGAGAAAGCAACGGGAAACCACTCCACTGTCTTTCCCAAGAAGTCATGGCAATTCACAGATAATAAAGAAAAGGAATCTTTGGAGAAATCAACGGGAAACCACTCCTTTATCTTTCCAAAGAAATCATAGCAATTAATAACTCCATGGAATATGGGGAGAGTCGTAATCGTCTACGTCTTGAAAAGGCATAGCATGAAAAAAAAATAGGTAGAACTAGTTGGGAGTTTTCCAAAAGATTTCCCAAGGAAGTTATACTTTATAAAGACTCAAAAGGATCCAGTCTGAATGAAATTGTAGTCTTTCGTCTAGAACATGTTGGAAGAATGTCCATGTTTACTCATAGACAATGCCCTCCTATCGGTTTGTACCGTAAATTGAACCAAGCATCAATTAGCTGAAGCCTGGGGATAATATAGGGACTTGTTTCATCAGAGAAAGATGGTTTTGTCTTTTGGTGTGTGTAAGTAATCAGAAAATCCTTTGAAATAAGGACAAAGTAAGAAAATAAAAAACAGCATTTTGGAAGCTTGTAGAATCCGAGAAACGGAAGAAGAATGGAAGAAGAAGCAAGAAGAAGAAGAAGAAACAAAAGAAGAAGAAAAGTAAGTGGTAAGAAGATGAAGTAGAGGAAAAAGTTAAAAACACAAGTAATATATATAAAAGACAAATGAAGAAGAAAATATAAGATAAAAGAAAAAGAAAAAAGAGGAGGAGAATAAAAGAAAGAAAGAAAGAAAGAAAGAATGTACGAAACAAGAAAAGGAAGAAAATTAAAATGAAGAAGAAAGAATAAATCAAATGAATTGGTGAAAAAAGTTTAAGACTGAAAATGAATGAATGAAGAATATTAAAAAAAAAATGGAGAAGAAAGAGAGAGAAAAAAAAACAGGAAAACAAAGACGTAAAAAGAATGAACAAAAAGAAAGTAACGTGGATATAAATAAAGAAGACAAAAAATGAAGAAGATTAAAAAGCGGAGATCGAAGGAAGGAAGGAAGGAAGGAAGGAAGGAAGGAAGGAAGGAAGGAAGGAAAGGAAGGAAGAAAAATATTTGAGAGAGATATGGACGGGGAAGGGAGAAAGAAAGAAAGAAAGAAAGAAAGAAAGAAAGAAAGAAAGAGAGAGAGAGAAAAATTATAAGAAAAAAAAGAAAGAAACAAACAATGAATGAAGGGAGGAAGAAAAGAAAGAAAGAAATAAAGAGATGAGATAAAAGAAAAAGAAAAAAGGAAGAAAATAAAAGAAAGAAAGAAAGAAAGATTATAAAAAGAAAGAAACAAACAAAGAATGAATGAATGAAGGAAGAACGGGTGAAAGGATGGAGGAAGAAAAGAAATAAAGAAATAAAGTGATAAGATAAAAGAAAAAGAAAAAAAGAAAGAGAATAAAAAGAAAGAAAGAGAGAAGCAAAAGAATGTAGGAAACACGAAAAGGAAGAAAATTAAAATAAAGAAGAAAGAATGAAGGAAATGAATTGCTGAAAAAAAGTTTAAGACGGAAAATGAATGAATGAAGAAAGTGAAGAAGAAATGAAGAAGATTAAAAGAGTGGAGAAGAAGAGTAAAAATGAATAAAAAAAAAAGGTTTA